CTGTATTGATCATGATGGGGCGACGGCAGTGCCCCGAGTCTTTTTGATCTGTTTAATCTTATTAGTTACTATTTAAAATTGAATAATTTAGGACCCCGGAAGCAAAACAACTCTTTGTTATGAAAGGAATACACCACCCACATGGACAGAACCCCTCATGTAAACCATCTATAAATACCTTTGAAGTCAATTTGATTTTCGATCTACATCTGAATCTCAGATGGAGAGTACTCTTTGACAAGATCAACATTTAAAAGTGTAGGAAAGTTTTGATAAAGATGTTTAATAGCTAATTATTCAGACATATTGTTCTTTCATGTTGACGATCATCGAACATAATTGCAATCAACTTCCATGATATTTGCAATTTTGAATTTGAATTATTTTGAATGCAAATGTACTCAAGTACTATATCCTGAGTTCTGCCCGGATCCCCGAAAACGTTTAAAATCAAACTCGATTATTTAGCTAGACTTCAAAATAAGGCATTCAATAGAAACATGAAATCCATATCACTGTATAAATTGTGGAATTTCTAGTAATTTTAAGACGTGCTTAGCCGGTCTAGAAACTCTGCGTATCTAGAGATATTGACCAGGGCCTACACCAATATTCTTAACACCACTTATTAAAGGATGCATGCATCAAGGGGTAGACATCATTCAAAAGACATAAACATGACCGGGTCGGTCAGGGGAAGGTTTGCATACGATGCAATTTGTACATGCAAGCTCATTTTTCACATATAAATTAATAAAGTCGATTCCTTGGGAATATGTTATTGGGTTTATAAGCGTAACGAGGAGAAGCGATGGGTTCGCACCCCCTCCTACAAGCAATAAAAGGTACCATAAGGTAGAGGAAGAAAAGAGCATTAAATTGATTTTTTGTTTGAAGCTTCTAGCTCAGGTTTGAAGGAAGTTGCATCATTTTCGTAAAAATTCAAAACAAATATTTTTTGCCTCATTTATGTCACGATCGCACCCCCCGACTGAAAACCTAAAATATTTTGGTGATTGCATCACCCCTCCCCCCCCCCCCCCCCCCCGATTGAAAGCTGGCTACGGCCCTGGGGTTTTATCGAAAACTATATCGTCAACATTTTATCATTATGCGGAAAGTCCAATATGAAATCTTAAATGGTAAATATGTTGCATTTATGGAGGGAATTCCACTGTAAACTATAATGTGAATGTTTGTTATGAATACTTCCATACAACCATCAATATCCATTCTTTTGAAATAAGATGTTACAACAAAGGGAATATTGAAAACTACAGTGGTAAGAGCATCTTTCTGACAGCTAATTATGTGTATCAACATTTTGATTGCACCTCAGCTGGAGATTAAATCTTATAATAATTTGATCAAAGGGATTGTAATTTTCCCCAATTCGCTTATCTATGTTACAATCTGTATACTTGTTATATTGTGAGCGGTATGTGTTGATAAACCAAAAAGATATGTTTTTTGGATATCAACATTTAGAAAAAAGTGTAAGATACCATTCTATATATTTTCTTAGTGTTTAGCATAGGTAAGAATGGGGGATGGGCTGGCGGGGGTCCGTCTTTGAATAATTCTAAGGGGTTCATATATTATCACAATTTTGCTACAAAATCACTTGGAAAGTGCATGATTTGAAAGATTATTTGGCCAAGGCGTCCGCTATTAACATGAGTATGAATTTTATAAAAAAAATTACTTTAATCAAAATCGAAGAATTCCTTGCCCCGTGTGTTCACCATTCACCCCGGGGGTTCACACTCGGCTCAGGTGGGGTACCTTTTTTACATTTGGTATGTCAAGCCAATGGACCCACATTTTAAGACAGACTTTTCCATTTTCTGGTATAAGAGTCGGTGTGGAAAATATGTTACCCCTCAATTGTGGTAAGGCATTGGTCCCGGGGCATTGGTCTAGTTGTTACACATATCCTTCATTTGAGGTTGTTTATGATCATTTTACTCAAAGATCTGCCTTCTTCTCGGGGCATTCGATATTTCGAATGGCATTGGTCTTATATTCTGGATATTTGGTACCCGGGGGTATGGCATTGGTTCTATATTTGGATGTTTGACATGGCATTGGTCTTGTGTTTGGACATTTGATATGGCTTTTTGGGGTTTATTTTAGTTTGTATGAGAACACATTTAATGCCACCCCCCAAATTACAAATCCACATCTATTCTCTCTATCCCAAAGGTGGATCGGAAGCATGAAAAACAGATGCAGACTCGGGACAGTTGCGAGGGGGGCTATAATGGAGAAATTCGTTTTGATTTTGAGTCTAACTGAAATATTTTGTCACAAATATTAATTAAATACGCAAATAGCCTGTTTTATTAAATGAGACTAGGGCAAAAAATCTATTCATTAAATCTAAAGCCTAGACGATATCTTCTGTAATCAAGGTGGTTTTGGTACACTTCCGCAATTATAAAAACAAAAACATAGACTAAGTTATTAATCTTTTGTTATCATATCAGATTAAGTCAGTTTTGTCTCCGATTGTTATGCAGGTGTGTGTATCGACTCCAGTGAACAACATTAAGTGAATCAATCCTTGAAATTCCCAAATTCATTCCAAATTCTGGCCGTTAACCCCCCCCCTCCCCTCCCCCATGTCTCTTAATTACATTTATTTTGCAAATGATATATAAATTATAGATTAAAATATTTCATTTTCGAATTGCACAAAGGGCAACATGTGAAGATAAAACCGCGATCCTAAAGCTACTTGCGAAACAAAGTGGTTTATGGTCCCCGATATCATTATTATATTAATACCAATACAATGTATCTCTATGAATATCATAAATTCACTCCTTTTTAATATCAATAGTCAAACAAATTAAGTAGTATGCTACAGTTCACGACCTATTGATTACTCTTTAATACAAAATTTAACCATTTTAGAATGGGTAACTCACACCCCCCCCCCGTCCATGTCCATGAAGTGCGTAGACTGACATAATAGTGCCATTTATTAATTAAACATCACTGATTTATGTTGAGACATTCAGTGCGATTATTTCATTTCTTTGTTCAAAAAGTTAAAGCACCAATTAAATACATATTTTTATCACACAAAAGGGGCAGAATACTTGACCTTGTATCAATTCTTATCCCGATAATTCTTTACAAGGGAATGTTTCTTATTAAAACATAAGCAGCGCCTAGGCGTCGATGGGGGGGGGGGGGTCAATCCGGTGTTCTCAGGCTATGTACAGCCAAGTATCCTGTTTATGTAAAAACCCTACGTTCCCGAATCACAATCAGACAATTAATTAGTATATTTGCTGTGTCTAGCAATTGATCATAGAATTAGATGTTGCGAAAACTATGGGAACTTGTACCTGTCTGTTTATGGATAGGCTGGGAAAGAACAGCAGAGAGAATGGTACATTCGATTGAATATGCTTGTTTTGCCCAATTGTGTATTAAAATGCCCCTCATTTATCATATGTATGGTCACAAGTTAAGTCGGCGATAATTTGTATTGACTTAACTTGAAACAAATTACTCCGAAATCCAAATACTCATCGAAAAGTAAGTTTATCTTTATATTAAGCTAATACAAAATAAATATATAAATAGGCCTGATGTATCAGTGTTTTCAAAGTTTATTGCACGTTTTATCCTTGAAACGCCTTTCTTTTTCTTATCATGATATGTATTTCCTTCACTTAGGATCAATGCGTCGATTAGCATTGCCTGTAACTGATTTATATTTTCAAAAGGCGGCATGAAATTGCCAAAATGTTAAAATAAGTCAATGTGTCAGCATACATACAAAATAGTCTGTTTAATATTTGCTACATGTACTTGTTCCAAACAGTCTGCGAAAGAATGATTAAAAAATATATCAATTAAAAGTATCAGAGAAAATACTTGCAATCGTTAAAATACTGTATGTATTGCTATTGGTAATTAGGTTAGTTGTTTACACATAATTATGTTGTTCAGTGTGCCAAGAGCGTGTCAAGAGGTGTAAAGAGTTGAATTCATCGCGTGTCAAGAGGTGTAAATAATTGGCACGTCTAGAAACCCGGCGTGTAAAGACCAGTTTCTAGACGTGTCAAGAGTTGGAATCCCATATTTCACGCAGTGTATCCTGCACCTTTTGCAACCAATGGAATGGCGCATTACCTGATGGAATATGGAGGAGTGGAGAGTCCTATGGTGCCTCTTCTTGCGAATCGCTTTGACAAGATGGTGATTTGGGGTATTTTCATGTTTGACAAAGAACTTTCCAGATGGTTTCTACAGAAAATACAAGAAGTTTGTAGAACTAGAATGACAACAGCTATTTGTGAACGCTACATGTATTTTGAACTTGGAATGTTAACTTGATTGTAGAAATCAGCCAAAATCGAAACAGACAGGACAGAAACTAGTGTTAACAAAAAAGACTATGCTGTGCTCTGCAGAACTTGTATTTGCGTTACTATGACAACTACTATTTCGCTATTATTCATTATATCTCAATAATCTTTTCAGATTAGTGTTTGAAAAATGTCAGAAGCTTCGTCACTGAAAATTTGAATGATGAAAGACAAGCAATAAAATTTTGAGAGCATAATTACCTTTACTTAATTACTGAAATACTTTACTTAATGAAGAAATGATAGAGTGTCATTTGCGAAACTCATTGATCACAAATTTTCACTCTAAAAAAATTTTGTTTTTCGAAATCAAAATTTAGACTCCATTCTTTAAGTTCCATGAATTGCATATGATGCCATAGAAACCATAACTTGAGTAATGGTAATCATTCAAACTTATCCAAGAAACAGGACAATATAGATTACATTCTCGGGGACCCCCACATTCTCTTTGATAATTTCTATTCTAGTTACAAGCCTCTTTGTCCCCCTTTTACTTGACCAAACACCTTCTTTCACTTGCTGTATGGGGGGGGGGGCACAAGGGCTTATAGCTTGAAGATGAAGACCTTAATTTTATGAGAATTTATGAATCTGTTTTTATATTTGCAGGTTTACGAATTAGAATCTTCAACCTTATAATCAAGCTGCTAACATGTGTCCTTTATGTAGTGAGAGTCTACACAGACGAATGGTAAGTACATCTGCACCTAAGTCTTATAATCAAGCTGCTAACATGTGTCCTTTATGTAGTGAGAGTCTACACAGACGAATGGTAAGTACATCTGCACCTAAGTCTTATAATCAAGCTGCTAACATGTGTCCTTTATGTAGTGAGAGTCTACACGGACGAATGGTAAGTACATCTGCACCTAAGTCTTATAATCAAGCTGCTAACATGTGTCCTTTATGAAGTGAGAGTCTACACAGACGAAAGGTAAGTACATCTGCACCTAAGTCTTATAATCAAGCTGCTAACATGTGTCCTTTATGTAGTGAGAGTCTACACAGACGAATGGTAAGTACATCTGCACCTAAGTCTTATAATCAAGCTGCTAACATGTGTCCTTTATGTAGTGAGAGTCTACACAGACGAATGGTAAGTACATCTGCACCTAAGTCTTATAATCAAGCTGCTAACATGTGTCCTTTATGTAGTGAGAGTCTACATGGACGAATGGTAAGTACATCTGCACCTAAGCCTTATAATCAAGCTGCTAACATGTGTCCTTTATGTAGTGAGAGTCTATACAGACGAATGGTGAGTACATCTGCACCTAAGTCTTATAATCAAGCTGCTAACATGTGTCCTTTTATGTAGTGAGAGTCTACATGGACGAATGGTAAGTACATCTGCACCTAAGACTTATTTAATCAAGCTGCTAACATGTGTCCTTTATGTAGTGAGAGTCTATACAGACGAATGGTGAGTACATCTGCACCTAAGTCTTATAATCAAGCTGCTAACATGTGTCCTTTATGTAGTGAGAGTCTACATGGACGAATGGTAAGTACATCTGCACCTAAGCCTTATAATCAAGCTGCTAACATGTGTCCTTTATGTAGTGAGAGTCTATACAGACGAATGGTGAGTACATCTGCACCTAAGTCTTATAATCAAGCTGCTAACATGTGTCCTTTTATGTAGTGAGAGTCTACATGGACGAATGGTAAGTACATCTGCACCTTAGACTTATTTAATCAAGCTGCTAACATGTGTCGTTTATGTAGTGAGAGTCTACACAGACGAATGGTAAGTACATCTGCACTTAAGTCTTATTTAATCAAGCTGCTAACATGTGTCCTTTATGTAGTGAGAGTCTACACAGACGAATGGTAAGTACATCTGCACCTAAGTCTTATAATCAAGCTGCTAACATGTGTCGTTTATGTAGTGAGTGTCTACACAGACGAATGGTAAGTTTTCCCCCTCTTACAAACTTCACTTGGTGATATGAAAGAGTTGAAAATTGTAGAAGATTTAAAATAAAATAAGATTTAATGCTTCTCTAAATAGATTCATCGGATCACGTACAGGGTTTTCATTCGCATCATGCAACAGGCGATTTTCATCAGTTGTTTTCACAAAATTGCCTGTTGTTTTTAGGGACTTTTCATCTTTTCCATGTTAAATTCATGATTTCCATTAATTTTGCCTGTTGTTTTCATTTATTTAGCCTGTTGTGGGAAATTCTAGTGAAACTCCTGTATTATATTTTCCTTATGTCTTAACCATACCTTTTTTACTATTTTAATGCCTCTAATTAGACATCATTTTCAAAGTAAAGAATGGCATAAAACTTTTCCATAAAATTTTAATGCACTTACTTGTGTTTTCAGCGAGAAAGATATGAAGTCATGCTTCAACCATACTGCAAAATCACTATCAGAGTTCAGGGAGAATCCACATATCAATTGGTAAGTTTTTTTGGTTTTTTTTTCAATTTTCTTTTATTCCATATATAATAAATAAAAATACTATTCAATATTATTGTCTATGATTTTCAACATTGTCGGCAATATAAAAAACATATCAAACTGGAAATAAATGGAAATACAATAGATTAGGTCCATAATATAGATGGTGAGAAATGTTAGAGGCCTTTGGGGGGGGTAAGTTAAGCGTAACCAGCCATTTAAGGATCATAAAGGAGTAAAATATTTTACCTAGCTTCCAATCCAAACACTTCGAGGACCAATCAGAGGGCAGTGTTCTAAACCAATAAGAATAATCCCATAATCGGGGACCATTAACAGAAACTTCGTAAAGTTAAGAATTCGTAAAGTTCATTGTTCTCTAACTGTGACATCATTATATTCATGGTTAAAATAAATGATCTACGAGTAACTTTGCGTAGTTTCTGTTTCTTGAAATTGGAAATTGTTAGAATATTAATAGTGTTACTTGTTTACTTTAATTGTACTTGATGATGTTGCTATGGTAACATAGTGAAAAACAATTGAATTTCAGGAAATGTTTTTCATGGCAGTTCCTAGAAATGACATATATCATACTTGAACTGGGCTTAGCAAGTTGTATTGTTTTCATTACCATGAAAGTCATGCTGCCGCACCTTACTTCACCTTAATCATTTCTGTTTCCACTTCATATTCCACTTTGTATTTCGTTCTAGAATCTCTGACTTTAGATCCGAGGGCTGATCTAGAAATTTATAGCCTTTTGAAAAATATATTTTTGAATTAAAGTGGGGAAAAATGTGAGCCCTTTTTGGCTTAAACATCAAGTTTTTGGGATTGACGAGTCGTCCTCCTGCGGGTTCACTGTCTGCCCTTTGATGAAAATTGGTGGTACCAGCAAAAACTGCGATATGTATACGGTAGTTTCTACATTCATTTATGTCTGTAGTGTCTGTTTCACCTGTCATTGCTATTTACCAAGTCTTCTCAGTATTCTAAAATTAACAATTTCTGAAAAATTGGAGCCCACTGTGACCCCTAGATCCCCCCCCCCCCCCTCCCCCTTCCAGATTTGTCAGTGTAATTTTGGTCACCAGGGCGTTGTTTATTAAGTTGCGTTGAACAGGCAAAAGTCATTTACATGTTGAGAATTTAGCCCGTAATTGCGTTTCACCACATGGTTGAACAGTTCCATTAAAAACTCTTGTTCGTAAATAGAAGCCATAAGTATCTGTCATTCCCATACTCATCAGATTTCACATCTGAAGGGCCTCTAAACTATCAATATGTCTTCTCAAATGGAACTGATAGAATTGGCTTGTTATCTCTTGAGGTGTCAAAGCATCGCAATTTATCAGTTTGTATCTGTCAGGCCTGGTCTGAGGATGAGGCATTAGATCTAAAGGTTCCCTAATGTACAGAATCATCAAACCATATGAGTTGTGTATTATCTGAATTCTATTATTTGACTTCGTAGAAGCGGAAGAAAAAAGATTACGCAAGACAGACATAACTAAGAAACTTGTTTTGAAATATTTGAATACTGCATTTCCATGGCTGCATCATAGACGAGATTATTTCCTAAGTATAATGTAATGACAGTCATTCATTTCCTTGTCAACAGAATTAACATTAAGTCAGGCAGTCTGTTTTTACAGAAGAATATAGATTGTTGTCTAGGAAATCTTGTTCAAGCTGAAAATTGTCGTCCAGCAAGAACAACAACCCCATTCAAAGATGCAATCATTGCATTTTCTGCTTTTATCTTGCATTTGTGGCATATTCAAATGTCCACAAGTGTTGATATATTTGTATAGTCTCCAGGCCCGTAGCCAGGATTTGCCAAGGGGGGGTTCAGTTTTCAAAAATTTCCAGGGGGGGTTCACATTGACAATTTTGGCCCAAATATGGCTAAAATCACTTGAGAAGTGCTCAAAATTTTGTCATGTCAATGCCTCATTATGATTTGGAGTCAATGAGAGATCACAAAATCAGGACTAAGACAGAGTGGTCAGATTAGGAGGTACATGTCTGGATTAGAGAAATGTATTATATACAAAGTTTCTCTGCTCTGGGTTCTGGGTGTGTGTGTGTAGAAAATGTCTGTTGTGCTTTCTCTGGTGTGTTCGAGCGTTAACATCAGCTGCCTCTAGTCAGATCGACTGACAAAACAACTTTTTGGGGGTTGTCGAGTTGGCCGAGAGGGCTTGAGCGCTGGCATGTTCAGGCTAGGCAATTGGGCGCTGTAACCACGAGGTTGCGAGTTCGAGACGCGTGTGCTCCTTTTGTTTATTCATCCATATGGAAACTGGTTTGGTGTCAACTGCTTCAATAATCCACTTAATTAGTTTTAGAAGAATATCATAAAGCGTATCAGTAATTCATGCGATTTAATAAAGAGGAAATTATGCGATAGATTATAAACAATCTCCTATAATTGAAAATGATCGCACAGCTGTATGATTACATATTAATCTTCATAATATTGTTCATATTTATAGAAGGAATTCTATTGAATACGCTGGAAATGTTCTAAAAACATCAAACTTAATTATTCCGTTAATTTGAAATACCCAGGCACTTGTGATGCAATTCTATAATTATATGATTGTTTTGAAATGGCTCACAAAAGTTGAACTATAAAATCATAGCATTATGTTTTACCGTTTAATTCATTTTAAACCAATGTTTTACTGAATTAACCTCTTGAATCCCAGGTACTGAAATCAGTTGAAACCAGAAATTTTTTCATTTTTGGCAGCTTTTGACACTTTACTACATATACAACACACTGTACATATAAACAGATGACGCTCAATTTAGTAAAATTAGACAAAAGAGATCATTTCTAAACATTTTAAAACAGTTTTTGTGTAAATTGTATGAAAATTGTTGAAATTAGAAAAAAATCCTGCAACTAATTTATATACAGAAAAACTGCTGTTTGTAGTTTTTATTTACTGGAGTGCATTTAAAATAAAATTCATAGCTATTTTTAATTGTTAAAGGTGTTCCATTGACAGAGGTGTTCCATTCATAGAAGCATTCTAGTTATAGAGGTGTTCCTTTTCTTGTGGTGTTCAATTTATACAGGTGTTCTTTTCACACATATGTTCACTACACAATTTTTCCAGTTTCCAGAGCCATTAAGTTCATAATGAAGATCACCTTTTAGTGCAATATTGATCGATTAAAGATTTAAAAAGGATTGAGTATTAGGGTTAATCCCCCCTAATCTTACTAACAATAATCTAGGATTACTAATGAGAAAGGACACTGCCCGTAATGTAATAAAAGTACAGATTTTCGTTGAAACTACAGTAAACCTATTTGTCTGAATACCTCTGTAGTCTGAACACCTCTTAATATGAACACTTTTCAGTGAGTTTTGTTATCTCCAATTGACATGTTAAAAGAACTTTGAAATGTGAATATCTCATTTTCTAAACACTTTTGCCCAGTCCAACAAATAACAATACAATCTTCATTTTTAACCCTACCAATATGAACACCTACCAATATGAACACCTGCCAATATGAACACTTTTTCTCTTGACCCCAGTTTTATCATCTCCCTTTGGCTCCCATGTTAAAGAAACCTTGAAATATGAACACCTGCTATTCTGAACACTTTTGGCAATTTTGAGTTCTCTCAGTAACATTATGGTGAGACTGGGTTTACAGTATTGTAAAACCTGTGTATATTGAACATTTTTTAACGAGAAAAAAATGTTAAGTGCTAGTAGGTGTTCACTACAAAGAGGGTATTTTATACAGAATTCAGTAGAATGTGTACAGAGGAAGGATGTCCACTAGAGACAGGTGTTCAGTAGAAAGAGGTGTTCATTAGAGAGAGGTGTTAACTTGTAAGAGGTGTTCACTAGATACAGGTGTTTTAATGAAGACAGATTTTACATTAGATAGACCAGTGTGCATCATGTAAAGTTTAAATGTCACCATCACAAATGGTGACATATTGTTACTTTTTGTGATAGCATCTGGCATTCGGTGTTCGGTGGTTGTTGGTCACATCTGTGACAAATGGCAGGTAGTGATATTTTGCATGTTTACGCCTTGTCTTAAAGTGTGCGCCAAAGTTTAAAACTGTGCAGGCGCAGCGCTCTCGCTAACCTATATAAAGAGATTACAAGGTACAGGCTTCAGAGGTAAGTCAGGAAGGTGAACAATCTTCGTCCCATTACATGTTGATTTCCCGTAAACGTAAACAGGCAAGTTTCACCATTGACATTGAAAATTACTATTAGATATACTTTGTAGATGTTATTAATGAGCTATTAAGTGTATGCATCAATCAAATGGCTCATTTTGAACATATAAAAAGTATTTGTGTTTTGTTCCCCAGGGAATCGTATTCCCATGTAGTACACACATAAATAGTGTACATTATGTAGTACCTGAATAGCCTGGTTTATATAATATTCAAGGGCATGCTGATTGTACACACGAGTACATGCATGAAGGCCTAATATTTATATTGCTTGCATACCTAAATAAAAATAAACTCTTCTAATCCCCTAATGTAAACACGGGGGTATACGTAGTCCGATTTATCGGAGACTTTCAGTTGTCGCAAAGTCTACATTTTGACAGTTCTGACAAAATCTGCTCAAAGATGCTTATTCTGGCTTATTATGAGTCCTTCGAGAAATCATAGTATCATTTTCTCATTAGTGACCACATTTGTTTATCCATCCACATTTCTCCACATTTCTTATACGTAAGAACAAGATATGAAAATAATATTTTTCTGTATTATTTTTCTGTTTTATTTTCAACTTTAAATATTATTTTAATGTATCCAGGAAAAAGCAAAATAGAAAATCGCATCGAAGTAATCAAGTAAAAGACTCGATCGAATGAGTTGGACTGTTTTGATAAATATAAAGGAAATTAATTATCGTTATTGGATAACCCTAATGATGTAATGAACTCGCTGAAATCTAATTTCGCATTCTCTGAAGTGATATAGAGCCGCGGAGTCGATCACTTCAATAGCGTCACACAAATTGTAAAAATAATATTATTGCTTCTTGCTAAGAAATAAGTTGCTTTTCACTATCTTCCAAATGATCACACTATTAGTATATTCACTGAATAAATTTTGTAGCAGAATTATCTAATGAGGTATTGCGACTTTGAGACAGCTGAGTCGTGACCACTCGAGGGGCATAATCAACGAGAAAATATATGTCAATATATGTCAACTTGCCCTCTTTTAGTAACACCCTGGAGAATACAGTAAAACTTATATATCTCAACACCTTTCTGATTTCACTTTTTAAAAGAAAGCTCTGTCTTCACTCTTTCAGTTTGCAATAAATCTCTGATCTAACCGAGCAAATCAGAGTTTGTCGTCGAAATACGGACGACTTTCTATGCACAGTCATTTCTCTGATATAATCGCATAATTATTGTGCACACATTTAGCTCTTGTGCCTTCCAACTCGCAGATTGGTTGAGAATAGGTCAGAGGGATAGGTTTGAAATGATTTATGACTCGAATTAACACAGGCATCGGTCATGGGGGGGTGGAAAATAGGCCCACGGATAAAAATCTGGTGGGATTTATGTCAAGTCACATTTATGTCCAGTCAGTGAGGCACATTTCGGCATTTTGAGCATGTTTAATAAATGACCATTAGGGATTTAGACCAATGGCACTGAGTAGAATGAAAGAACATTAAACGAGGTTTAATATGATTTTAACCCAGGCTGAATGACTGAGTTATTAACATACATTTTTTGTTGTTACCTTTTTTGGCTCACCCTGTATTAATTTATTTTAGGGAAATGATGTTTTGGCTTTTTTGGCTCACCCAGTATTAATTTATTTTAAGGGAAATGATGTTGTGGGTGAAAAGGGACATGGCCCTGTGGATCACCCAGGTGACAGTCGCCTGTATAAGCCTGGCTGAGACACTTCTGGTGACATATCTAGGATATAAGGTATGTATTGCATTTAGAAATCTTTCAGATTTGTTGAATTTTCTTGGAGAAATCGCCTATTCCCCCCTCCTCTGTTCATTTTGTATGATCACCAGGCGTGAAAATAGTAAGTTTGATTTTTTATTGATACTGCAAAATGAAAAATTATTGTTAAAAAAAGATAAATTTTGTTCATTTTTTTAAAAAAATTTTTGAAATTGAAAACAATTTTTAATAATCTTTTAAATTTATAAAAAATGTTTTTGGTCATTTTTTCACAAATTCTTTTTCAAATTTAAAAAAAGAATTTTCGAAATTTTAAAAATAACTTTTTTTCAAAAATAGTGGTCAAAAGTACCTATTAAGGGTCATCAACCAATCAGAATTGAGTCTTAATAATGAACACACTAACAAGAAAGATTCCAGTAAAGTATAGTAAACAAACTTAAAGGAATTCTTGTAAAAATCTTAATATTCTCATTATAAACTTAATAGTATAAAAAATAGTATCAAATGTGGTTAAAAAATCCATTTCAAATTAAGAAGATAAATATATATTCAAATAAATATACAACTTTTCATATGTTTATAAGTTTAATTTTGTAACATGGAAAATGAATTCAATATTCAAAAAGTAAAACTGTATAAAACCAATTATTTGGTGAATCTATAATTATCAAACAGTATTATGTCTTGATATCTAACCGTTGCCTGATCTAACTATTAATCTAACTTTATTGAATCTTTGTATTCTGAACAGACAGAAAGAGTGAATGGAAATTCGACTTTACCTGTGCCGTATGCCTTGGTCACATTTGCCCTGACTTTCAGCATGGTACCTGGTGGATATATGATTTTCTACAATTGTTAAATGTTAGTCGTATGAAACTAATAATACACTTATAGATGACAGTCATCGATCGGCAAGGCTTCATTTCACAATCTTTTCTCTGAATCAAACCAGCAATAATTTTTAAGAAAATCTGAAGACAATGGTAGCTAAACTCTCTATTTTCGGCACATCGCTGCATACTCACTAGTAAATTAATGTTAATTTTACGTTTCTATTTGTATTATTGCTATACTTATTGTCTGGCAAACTCAAAATATCACTTTCATCAACATAAAAATGTACGTCTACCATTTTTTCTGTAAACATTATGACGTCATATTCCCCATAATTCACAAGTGTAGTACAGTATACGATTGTTGACCTCTCCAGAGGTCAACCGGCAAAATTGTATACCGAGACTGTAAACCGAGAAACTACTGTTGACAGAGACCGAAGGTCGAGGTCAACAGTAGTTTCAAGGTTTACAGTCGAGGTATATGATTTTGACGGTTGACCGAATGGAGAGGTCTACAATTGTTTTGTTAGTCAGAAGAAACTAATAATACACATATAGACGACAGTCATCAATCATGGCTTATTTCACAATCTTTTCTCCGAACCACGCCAGCAATAATTTTTTAAGAAAATCTGAAGACAGTGGTAGCTAAACTCTCTGTTTTTGGCACATAACTGCGTACTCACTAGTAAATTAATGTTAATTTTTCGTTTATTTTTGTATTTTTGCTATACTTGTCGTCTAGCAAAGTCAAAATATCACTTTCATCAACGTTTACGAAATGTCCGTCTACCATGTTTTTTCTGTAAACATTATGACGTCATATTCCCCATAATTCACAAGTGTAGTACAGTAACATAAGCGGTCAATAATATGATATCCCATGATGCACAGGTGAGGTACAGGCAAAAATGTTGACCGCTAATTGACCAATCAGATGCGAGTATTTACACTGAGGTACTAACAATAACATATGCGGTCAATAATATGATATCCCATGATGCACAGGTGGGGTACAGGCAAAAATGTTGATCGCTAATTGACCAATCAAATGCGGGTATTTTCACTGAGGTACTAACAATACATATTGTTGACTGCTCATCAACCAATCAGAATCAGTCTCAATAATAAACACACTAACAAGAAAGATTCCAGTAAAGTTTAGTAAACAATCAAAAGGAAATTCTTGTAAAAATCTTCTCAAAAAATGTTCTCATAATAAACTTAATAGTATAAAAAAGATAGTATCAAATGTGGTTAAAAAATCCATATCAAATTAAGAAGATAAATATAACCTATTCAAAGAACTATACAACTTTTCATATGTTTATAAGTTTAATTTTGTAACCCTGGAAAATGAATTTAATATTCAAAAAGTAAAACTCTATAAAACCAATTGTTTGGTGAATTTATATTTATTGAACAGCATATACATCTAATTTATAAGTCAAACTTGAATTGAATGTTTGTATGTCTGTTTATAGAACAGACAGAAAGAGTGAATTGAGATTTGACTTTCCCTGAGCCTTATGCCTTGGTCACATTTGCCCTTACTTTCAGTATGGCACCTGGTGGATGAGTATTTTGTTCAAACCGGCCTATTTATCACTTATTTGGGACTACAAAGGGGGTTATTTTGGCTGATGAGTATTTCGTTCAGTATGGCACCTGACTGATGAGTATTTTGTAAAATATGGTACCTGGTTGATGAGTATTTTGTTCAGTATGGCACCTGGCTGATGAGTATTTTGTTCAGTATGGCACCTGGCTGATGAGTATTTTGTTCAGTATGGCACCTGGCCGATGAGTATTTTGTTCAAACTGTTCTATATACACTGTATATTATTTATTTGGGACTACCAAGGGGGTCATTTTGTAAAAGATTTTTTGTGTTTAAAGATTTTGTTTGAATATATAATATATAAGCAGAAATGTCATAAATACTGACCTGAAGAATATTTCACACAATGACCTTCGTTGACATTCTCAAGGTCAAAAAAATATTTGATCTTCTCAAGATATTCTTCAAAAATAGTGTTCAACAGTACCTAGTAGCAGTCAAGAACAGTACATATCGTTGACTGCTCATCAACCAATCAGATTTGAGTCTTAATAATTACAAACTAACAAGAAAGATTCCAGTAAAGTATAATAAACAAAATTAAAGGAATTTTTGTAAAAATTTTTGATATTCTCGTAATAAACTTAGTACCCTGTGTGCAGAGTCTAGTTAAACTACACTCTGCCTAGTAGAGACCATATTGCAGTTTAGTAGCCTCGCCCCACGATTGGTACTGTTGACAGTTTGGGTAATAAATCATACATAAATAAACATACGCCAAATGCGTTCTAATTAAATATGCGCATGTCATTGGTCAATTCCGGGCTCAACGATGACGTCAGAAGGAATGGCCATATATAGAAAGTCGGTCAAATTTGGCCGACGAACACTGATTGGCGCGGTGAGTTCACAGGTTTATTTTAGTTTGAAAGAGTGAAGACGAAGCTCTCTTTTAAGAAGTGAAGTCAAACGAATGCAAAGGGTATAAACTTAGTAGTATAAAAAAAGTAGTATCAAATATGGTTAGAAAATCCATATCAAATTAAGAAGATAAATATAACCTATTAAAAGAAATCTACAACTTTTCATATGTTTATAATTTTGACTCTGTAACCCTAGAAAATGATTTTGATATTAACCTATTATTTAGGGAATTTATATTTATTAAACAAAAAAGTACCTTTCCAATGAAAAACTTGAGTTCAATTTTTGTATGTCTGTTTAAAGAACAGACAGAAAGAGTGAATGGAGACTAGATATAGTGCCATAGAAGTATTGACTCTCTCATGAAAAATTTCATAACCTCCTCCCGTTGAAGCATCACTGTTTTAAAAAGATTGTATTGGTAGATTCAATTTCACTGATATGAGTGCTTGATGAATAATCACACAATATTATACAAATATTTAATTCTATTGAGGTGATTACCTGTGCATCTTTCACAAGTATAATATTCCACGAAGCCCGAAGAGCTAGTGGAATATCATCTTCTGAAAGTGTAACAGGTATTCACCAAAAGTAGAATTAAATATTTTTTTTTATTATATCACTGTCATAACATCTTCTATAATCAAATAAGTCATATGTTAACATTGAAATACATTTATATTTCTTCTAATAATACAATAATAAATATCAACTACCAAATTGTATTGTCAATAAATATAAACTCCCAAATAGAAGTATTTTAATTTAAGATTTGATATAAACTTTATCATTAATTGTAACATTGCAATGGGTCAATGAAAATGGAACCATTGTGTTCATACTCATAGTATTGGCCATGTGGGAAACAGGGTTGGGAATGTTTTCAAATGTCCATTCTGAGATGACTCCTTGTTAGAACTGCCATTTACACTTGGTAGCTCACATAACTCACAGTATCTCCATGAGAAGTCATTACCGTTGAATATCATTTGATATTCACCGGAAGTCACGTGACTTCCGTTGAATATGGCTAGTTATTTTTTAGTCACGTGTAGGACATGCACAAATAAGAGAGTGAGGAATATGACAGTGATGTAATAATTCCATTTATCATTTATTTGGGGCTACACAGGGGGTCATTTTTCAAAATAATTTTTTTGTATTTAAAGATTTTGTTTTAATATATAATAAATGAGCAGAAATGACATAAACACTTTGACCTCAAGAATATTTCACACAATGACCTTCAGTGACATTCTCAAGGTCAAAAGAAATTTGATCTTCTCAAGATATTTTTCAAAAATAGCAGTCATAAGTACCTAGTAGCGGTCAACAACAGTGTACAATTGTTGACCTCTCCAGAGGTCATCCGGCAAACTTGTATACCGAGACTGTAAACCGAGAAACAGAAGGTCGAGGTCAATATAATATGGCAAATACTTTAGTTGCAGGTTCACAACCTAAACCAGCCATGATATGAGAGAATTTCCGATTTTTAATCTGAGTGTCATCTGCCATTATCATTTTCACATATTAAGACCTACTTTTCAACATATTTTTCACAAATTTGAACACAAATTTCATACCGCTTTACCAATGAATGAAAGACATTTATGACACCACTATTGCTTATGTGATACAAATGCTGCTTGAGTGCCACTCTCAACCTCATCCAATGAGCAAAA